TGACAGTGAGAACAATTAACCAGTGGAACAACCTGCCTCCAGAAGCGGTGAATGCTCCAACACTGGAAGTTTTTAAGAAGAGACTGGACAGCCATTTGTCCGAAATGGTATAGGGTTTCCTGCCTGAGCAGGGGGTTGGACTAGATGACCTTCAAGGTCCCTTCCAACTTTACTATTATTATTATTATTATTATTATATCTTTTATAGCAAATTCTAAACATGGGGACATTTATGCATGAAGGCTTCTCTTCAATCATTACCAACTTACTTTGCTTCTTAAAAAATCAAGAACGTGATCCTAAATCTAATAACCATAACATGTTTTGAAATGATATTACTCAGTTTACAAAGAGCTAAATAAAAATAATTAATTTCATAATTGCTTCCCTTCCCTGGCACTGATATGATACATTTTTACTGTAAATGGTCTTGAATCTACAATAGTTGACAATCTTCTTCTTTCTAACGTTATTCCCACACTATGGCAGGGTCTGCTTGTTGGCAAAGCCGTTTCCATTTGGCTTGATCCAGGGAGTCTTCAGGGCTGATGCCCATGCATTTACAATAGAATTCTTTGTTCGCCAAGTGTGATTGGACACACAAGGAATTTGTCTTCGGTGCTTAAGCTCTCAGTGTACATAAAAGTTATAAGTGATAACTCATGATCATTCATCATAAATTGTAAGATACAACATTTAGTGATAGTCATAGGATACTAGATAAGCAATCAACATAAATCATACTAGGAAACTAAATAAAACAATATAAATTGTAAGATACAAGCAACAAAGTTATAGTCATAAGTAGATAAGGAGATAGGTAATAGGAAAGATGGGAAGAATAATAGTAATACAGCCTTACTAAATAGTTTGACAATGTTGTGGGGATTAGTTGTTTAGCAGAGGGATGGCATGGGAGGGGGGAAACTGTCCTTGTGTCTAGTTGTTCTGGTGTGCAATGCCTTATAGCAGGGGTGTCAAACTCACAACGTCACGTGACATGTCGCAACATATCACAACTTTTTTGCCATTGTCGGCAACGGGGTGGGCACAGTTTCGCCATGACGCATCCAGCCCATGGGCCGGCAGTTTGACACCCCTACCCAATAGCGTCGTTTTGAGGGTAGAAGTTGTTTCATGTCCACCTTGATGCGATCTAACAATAGCTGCCAATATAAAATTTAATAATAAAGTATATGGTGCAAGAGATGAAGAGACAATAAAACCAAGAGTTTGGGATTATTCTGAAGATATTATAATTTTGCCTAACTTATCTAACAATTAATATTCAGTCATGTTCCAGAATTGGATGATTTCAACAGAAGAAATCTAATTAAAAAATAACCACTTCTCACAAAGTACTCTGAATCATGCCAGTGGAACAACTATTGCTGCAACTGTTAATTCAAAGCATACACTGCTTCTCAATGAGAATTTTCAGTCCTGTATAAAAAAGGTTAATTTATAAACCCTATGTCTCAAACATGGAATGACCACAGAACTACAGTATACTGTATATTATTCCTACAAAATCCATACACAAATCTTGTTTGGGTAGAGAGAGTAGACAATAGAACAGAAACTATATGGCAAAGTAATGTTGGGAGATCTCCTTCTGGGCGCACAGCCTGGTTCACCTTTTCATTCTATTGGCCACTAGAATCAACAGATTTAATCAACAATACTGTAGGGCAGCGGTTCTCAACCTGTGGTCCATGGACCCCTGGGGGGCTGTGATGTCATCACAGGAAGTCCACAAAGACTTGAATAAATGTTATGATTTAAATCTTGAATTAAGTCTTGGGGGGTCCATGGCCATGGTCTGTGGCCACAAAAGTTATTTAAAGGGGGTCTGTGGTAAAGAAAAGGTTGAAAACTACTGCTGTAGAGGTTTCCTTACTTGAGCTCTTTTACATGCCCTCTTGGACAATTCCTCTATTACTTTCATTTCTCTCAGAATTCATATTCTGCTGCATAAACCTGCTGAAATCCCAAGTTACTTCTTCTCTCAAACTACAGCACAGGGAAACTGATATAAAAATGGCAGATGGAAAATTATGTATTGTTGGTATATGACACCAGAGAAATTGTCCAGAGTATATAAAGACACCTCAGATATCTGCTGGAAATGTGAACAACATGAAGAGATCATATAGCATGCGTGACGCACACATAAAAAAAATTGTTCTGTGAGTGAGATGGGCAGTTCCTAAGCTGGATAAATAATTATGCTAAAAAATTTGGATTCAAATATATACATTGAAACAGAGGATTTTAAAGATTAATATACAATTGAAGGCACAACTTCTGTTTTTAGGATTGATGGACAAATATTTAGGAAAGAGCCATAGAGGATTACTTTGAACTATGATAACTTCAGTGAGACTATTATATGCACAAAAATGGAAAGATTTGGCATTACTCAATGTTTGGTGAAATTGTCAGAACTTTTGGAGATGGACAGATTGACTTCTTTAATTAGAGAAAGGTAATTAAACTTGTGAAACTTATGGACACTTTACATGAGAAAGAAAATGATTTTGTGATTTGTGCTTTTGATGATTAGAAAGAATAAATTGTAGATAGAAGGGAAATATGCAGTGGTGGGATTCAAATATGTGAACAACCGGTTCCCTGTGTGGATGCCGCTTCCAGAACTCCATTTTGGGCCTGGGCAACAAAAAATTAGCTACCAGTTCTGCTGAAGTGGTGCGAACTGGCTGAATCCCGCCACTGGAAATATGATAAAATTGGTGAGTAGTTTGATTAGAACAGTGGTGGGATTCAGCTGGTTCGCACCACTTCAGCAGTTGTTCACATATCTGAATCCCACCACTGGATTAGAATTGCATTTATGTCTTCTTTTATCTGTTTTTTCCTCTTTGCTTCTTTTTTTTTTTCTTTTACACACTTACTTCGTTACATTTTTTTCCCCTTTGGGTGTATTAAAATATTTTAATAAAAATTCTTTTTTAAAAAATGGCAAAGGAAAAAAAAATCCTGCAACATAATCAAATCAATGGGCAAATAAAGAATTAAGCAGCCTCTTCTACCTCATCACTGTTTTTGGCAAATGCTCACCTAGATTTCCTCTATAGTGAACTATAATGACATCAAAAGAAGACAATTAACTAGTGCTTGTGGCTAAACTGGAACTAAGCAAATAAGCGGCCTTTATTTTTATTTTATGTATTATTACATTTGTTTGCCACCCATCTCGTATTCATTGTATCATGTAGACTGCAAATACAGCAGAAACAAAGAAAGTTGTATCACTTAAAATTACAAGCTATGAATGTCCGCAATGTGCAAGCATAGCCTTAAAGTCTTTCAAGAGCCTTTTTAAATTAAATAGCACAATAAAGAATATCTGTCATTGTTTATTTTGCTTATTTTGGCATAGGATACACAAAAGATAGATTGCTCACAAGATTGAGAAATGGATTCTGGAAACAAACAGAGACCAACAGCATTTAATTGCCATGGCAAATTGAAAAAGCAAACACTGCAGCAGTCAAATCCATCCTTCCTCATACTATACATATTATGGCCCACCTAGCAGCATTTTTAGCTGCTAATATAGTACTAGAATAAATTCATTTTTAAGCTAAGGCCAGCAGCAGTTTGACATCATTAGACTGAAAAAGTTAAATTTAATTTTAAGTTTATACTGCACAGAAAACTCACAGTTTGCCTCTGGTTTATTTTATTAATAAGCATATACTACTGATCTCCAGGATGATGCAGAAAAGTAAAAAAGGAATTAACTTGTAAATATACTTGCAACAGTTCATTTATTGACTCTTCAAAATTACCGTACAGTGGCAGTGAAGAGATTTATGACTGTTTTTCACACTTATGACCATTGCAGCATCCCCATGGTCACGTGATTAAAATTCAAATGCTGAGCAACTGACTCATATTTATGACGGTTGCAGTGTCCCGGGGTCACGTGATCACCTTTCTGACAAGCAAAGTCAACAGGGAAGCCAGATTCGCTTAAGAACCATGTTACTAATTTAACAACTGCAGAGATTCACTTAACAACTGTGGCAAAAACAGGTCATAAAATGGGGCAAAACTCACTTAACAAATGTCTCACTTAGCAACCAAAATGTTGGGCTCAATTGTGGTCATACGTTTGCCACACATAGGCTTTGAAATCTGGAAAGCTAGATCGGTATTAAGAAAAACCTTCCAGATTCTTATAAATGAAATATAACAGCAGTTATCTTTATCAGATTCTGCATGAGGTCATGGCAAGAAAAAACTATGCCTCATTATTTAAACAATTTAACCTGTCCAAATGGATGGAAATCATTTAAGATCCAAATATGTCTTTTAGGATGTTTCACCAAGGCCATCACTATGGACTTGTGGTTGAATTCCAGAGTTTTAGAAACAATTGACCAAAGTTTGCTGTGCTTTTCTTAGCAAATGAGAATCTGGAAAACGAACACTCGGTCATCCACATAGATAAGACTGAATACTGATAAATCAATTCCAGCTTTTTATCATATGCAAGAATAACCATTATCTTACACTTAAGGAGTACAAACAGTATATGGGAAGAGGATGGAGTACTGTAAAGGGGCATTAAGAAATGCTACAATTTCAAGAAGAAATCACCATTAATCAATATCACAAAGCATCACCAAAAAAGCCCCATGATTTTTCAAGGTACATGGAAAGCAACAATAATCTACAATCATAGTTATCAACTGTGATTTTAGGAATGTTTCTTTCCTCTAACTCAAAAACCAAAAGACCAAAAGCCCACAGTGTGCAAATGTATGTACGTATAAATTCTTGATTAGCTAATTGCTTTAGCTACCATTTATGGTTCAGAATAACAGAGTTGGAAGGGACCTTGGAGGTCTTCTAGTGCAACCCCCTCCTCAAGCAGGAGACCCTATATCATTTAATCAATGAATTAATTAACAAAGGATGCAGTTAACATAGGATAAGATTTTACTGAATTCAATGGCATTTCCAAATAAACATAGGATTGTACTCTTTAATTGGGAAATATAATTCTTAACTCAAAAATACTATTATCCAACAAAAACACCCCTTTATAATCACGTCAGCTGTTGTTCTTATTGGCAGAAATATCAAATCCCCTTCTCCCAATATTTTTGAAATTTTTACATAAATTATTCTGATTTCCCATCGTTAGAATAAGATAGGAGCAATGATTTATTCACTAGGCCACAAGACCCCACTGAAGGTCTTTAACTGTTTCGAGTTAACTTTGTTTGCATGTTCAGTTTATTTATTTATTTATTTATTTATTATTTAAATTTATATACCGCCCTATCTCCCTTATGGGACTCAGGGCGGTGAACAGGCAATAATAAAAATCACAATAAGTTTAAGAAAGGAGAATCATTGAAGAGAAATGTAAATGTTTAAAAGGTTACATACTTTTCAAACAAATGCCTGCTAACTTCTGCATCCACGGCACTTAATGGATCATCCAACAGATAGATGTCGGCATCCTGGTACACAGCTCTAAAAATAGACAAGTAAGGAACAATTAGGTTGCTTCTAAAATAAGTGTGTATTTTTTAGCAGCAAGGCTTCACCTATACAGTGAAAGGCAGGATCTCTCATCTGACATCGTTTCCTGTTTCCTGCCCTGGTGCAGCTATTGGGTCATTACTGCTGCCCCTATATATTTTTAAGGGAGATTGCCAGGCATCCTTCCAAATAAGTCAGTTAGAGCAGAGGTCCCCAACCCCTGGGCCGCAGCCTGTTCAAAACTGGGCTGCGGGAGAAATGGATAACTGTGTGCACATAAAGCTCCACTCACGCGAGTGGCAGGGAAGCGCAGGCACGCATGCGAAGCTCCACTCGCATGAGTTTCATGCACAAGCGCAAGTGCTTGCTGCTCACACAAGTGCCTTCCATTTGCACGAGTGGAAGGTGCGGGCACATGCACACCACTTGCACAAATGGAGCTGTGTACATGCACATGTACTTGCTACACAAACGCATCCCCCCCCAACCAGGCCGGACCACCAAGCTGAAAACATTGGGGACCACTGAGTTAGAGAATCCTACAATCAACGGCCTTATGTGTGAATAAGTAAAAGCTTATCAATCAGAAATAAATCTGATAATGTCATTTGCTGGTTCTTATAGCTTTGAGAAGATTTTAAAATTTAAAATTAACTCTATTTTTGAAAAAAAGCAGAAAATGCCAATCTTCCATTTTAACCTTAAACAGTCACATCCAAAAACAAGTAAGAAATATAATATTGATAAAATCCTGAAACACATCGGAATTGTTGTTAAGTGGCGTGATCACATGATGATTGTTAAACAAGGATTATTTGTAGTAAGCACTTGGATGTTTAGAAGCTTCTAGTTAAAAGGGTGGAATAGCACTGCCATTCATCACCCACTATGAAACCTCTCCATTAACTATCAATTTCTAATTCGAAGTCCTATAAACATCCAACATCTGATCACGCGAGGGAGCATCTCTTTCACAAAAGCCATCCTAGTGTTGGTATTGGGTGAAGAATAAGGGAGAATGCTGGAACTCCATGCTAGATACCATGCTGGCTTTTAATAAAGGCATGTTAAATTTCTCTTTTTGTGAATGTCTAAATCAGGGCAGGTAATCCTTGAGTTACAACCACAACTGAGCTCAAAATTTCTGTTCTTAAGTGAGACATTTGTTGTGAGGTTTGCCCCTATTTTACGACCTTTCTTGCCACAGATGTTAAGTGAATCACTGCAGTTAATAAATTAGTAACCCGGTTGTTAAGTGAATCTAGCTTCCCAATTGACTTTGCTTGTCAGAAGGTTGCAAAAGGGGATCACAGGACCTTGAGTACACAGCAATGGTCCTAAGTGTGAACCATTTGCCAAGCATCTGACTTTTGATCACGTGATCATGGGGATGCTGGAAAGGTTGTAACTGTGAAAAATGGTCATAAGTCACTTTTTTCAGTGCCGTTGTAACTTTAAATGGTCAATAAACGAACTGTTGTAAGTCAAGGACTACGTGTAATATGTAGCATTGTTTGCTATTAGGAGTTTGATTTCAACAGTTTGATTTCTTTCATTAGCTTGTTATCACTAATTGACACAATTTTAAATTTTTATAGGAGGCCATAAAATGTACATAATTTAGATTTTAGTTTCACCAAATATATTTGGTATTTAATTGATATCTGCAGGTTCAAGATGGTCTCATAAAATTAAAGTCCACTTTACCTAGCCAGATTAATCCTGGCTTTTTGTCCACCACTCAAAGTAGCTCCTCTGTCTCCAACCATTGTTAGGTCTCCATCTTCCAGTTGGTCAATATCCTATCAAACAGAGAGAATTATTCAAATAAAAATGTTTGCATTTGTCATTTTACTGATTTGAGAACCATCGTAAATATTATTCATATGCATATGTTCTGTTCAAAAGGAGAAGTTATTAATCAGAATTGCTTTGTAAGATTTTTCACTCTCCGAAGAAGTGTGTTTGTACAATTTATAAACCGCTACAAATTAAATATGAATTTTAGGAAATGATGGGCAGTTTTCATAATGCCATACAAGATCATAAAAAAGAGACCAACTGCATTTTTAGAAAATGTGTTTTGCAAAAGGTTTTAAACTGTCTGCTTTTCATCCTGACAGCGGCATCATCAAATGCCATGTACTGGATTTGGTGTATAATATTTTTCAAGTTGTCAAATAAAATGATCTGTCTCTTGGCAATCTATTTTAACGTTCTAGATCACACCTGCCAAATCAAAGGTAAAGTTGAAATGTTCTGAAGGAAATTCTGTAAAATACAATGTCAGCTTAAGAAGCCAATGGCATTTTTAGGAACAATACATCCATTGCAATTTCTATCTTCACTCTCACAAGTAGGGAATGTGAAAGATCTACTAACCTGAAGTATTTCCTCCTAGAATTTATTTCATACCTTTTAAATGGGAAATAGATAAATCTTGAAGTATTACAGCAAGGTGGCCAACCCACAAAATTATCACTGAAGTGAAAATTTTAATATGGCAATAGGGAAAAACCTAGTAAACCCACATATATTATATGAGTCATTACGTTTCATTAAATTTAATTAAAATTAGATTAAATCAAATTTCATGATGTTCTCTGTTCAGCCCCTTAAAGAGTACTGCCCTGACCTCTCATTTAAAATTATGTGGGCCCTCATCCCACAAAGGCCCTGCCTACATAATTATTTATGGATCCAACCAACTTAAATTACAGCTAGACATGGAGCTATTTTGAACAATGTATAATGTCCTATATTTCACACGCATTTTATCCATTCTTAAACATTGATTTATTTTGGATGTTAGGCTAGCTTTTGGGAATCCAAGGGCAATGAGGCTTCCATGAGGGCCCTGTAATTTTCCATGCATAATGCTTTGCCAATTTTCATTGTCAAAAAGTGAAAAACAAGATGTTCAACTCAAAATGTATTTAAAGATGAAGAACTTACTTTTTTAAGAGCACAGACTCTTAAAACCTTCTCATATTTTTCTTTTCGGTATGCTTTTCCAAAGAGTATGTTATTTCTTACTGTGCCAGAAAATACCCAGGGTTGCTGAGAAACGTAAGCTATTTTTCCTTGAACATCTATAAAACCTTTGATTGTAGACAGCTCACCCAGCACAGCACTCAAGAGTGAAGACTAGAAGAATGGAAAAAACAGGTCAAAATTATAAATACTCATGTGCACAACACACCTAAGATCTTCCATTCTTTTTAGACATAAGCACAACTTATTTATATAACCACCACTACTAAAGGTTCCCTTGGTTTTCTTGTTTTATCATATTATAGACCTTTGTGCTTCTCCATATATATATCTGCAATAGCTACAATGTGGGATTAATCATAGCTAATATTAATTTCTATGTGAACCTAATTGGAGCTGGCTAATTGTTTTATTTGTAGACAAGAGATATGTCACCTGACTAATCTGGTCAGCTAACCCATTCTAGTATTTTATGCCAAAATGGGCTTTAGGATAAAATAATAGTGAAAAGCATTTGATAACACAAAAGCCCTAATACAGACAAATATGTGTTACAGCAAAAGTTACAAGAAATTGTAATTTAAGAAACTGCCTTACAGCTGCTTTTTAGCTACTCTGATATGGCTCATTTATTGGATGCCACTCTTGAATTAACTAGCAAATATAGTGGAAATTTTCAAAAATGTAAGAGAAGGAAATGGAACTGAATCTAGTATATATCAAGCAATTCATTACTCTATACCAGGGGTTCCCAACTAGGGGTGCGAGATGATATTCCAGTGGGTTGGGGACCCCCAGTGGGTTGGGGACCCCCCTGGATAAATGGTTTCCAATCCAGTTTCCAATGTTTAGTAAATATTTTATCAAAGTTCTAAAAATGTATCTGTTTGCTCTATTTCCATATTCCCTGACTCTAGGCAAAGAATCAGACCTCTATCATTACCATGAGCATTCCTTATACGTTTATTCATAAATCCTTTAAATAATCTAAGGGACATCTTTGTCTTATTTCTTGCACTTTATTTCAATTCACTAACAATGGGCTTCATTTGTATGATACACTGCTGTTACCACATTCAGCAACCAGCCACATCCAATAATGCTCCATATTCACACAAAATATTCTATTGATCAAGCCTCTATCATATATTTTCTCTAAATCAATATACATTATTTTAATGAATTGCAGCCTAGAAAAAAAATCTGCTTGGTACATCCACTCACTGGCACGAAACAGGACATCACTTCCCAAGTTTTGTTCACATAAAACTTTCAAACAAAACTCTGCCAAACTAGGTAAACTAAATTAAGTTAAAGCCTCAGTAACTTTGCACCCATTCTTGCTACATGTCTCTTTGTATCAGGAAACAAAACCATTCATGTTCTAATCATGTTATTTCCAGTTTAGTTTCTTTCTCTTCTTTCCTTTTTTTCCACACCCATATTTTCCCCAAATCTACTCCACACTACAAAAAATTACAAAATGTCTCATCGCCATGTATTTTTCACCAATTCTTTCATATTTCCATCATAAACAATGAGAACCATAATATCTTTTGATTCAACATTAATAATAATAGTAATTTATTAAGGGTACTGTATATGCTGCCCAACTCCCAGTGACTCTGGGCAATTCACTAATTGTTAAAAACATTAGAAACAAAAAAAAAACCCCACAAAACAATAAGAAACAAAAGTGACAGAGAAAACAGTCCAGATAGGAACAAAGAAAAAGAAAGAAAAAGGTGGCTTCAATCATGCTTGCCAAATGCCTGAATGAAGATTCATATCTGTTCATTGCAGATTTATGAATAAACTGATGCTTAAATCATATTCATTCTTCTAAATTCATTTCTTGACTCAGCTCAATTTCACAAGACGAGGCTAGTTTCAGTCAGATCTATTACATTCTTTCCTTTTCTATTTGTTGCACAGACATAGATACACATGCCTGTTTTTCCTTCTCCTATTTCTTTTACTAATTCATGTCCTTTACTATTTATTTTCCTTCATTCCAACTTGCTATCTTACCTCACTAGATGAGCCCATAGATTTTGAGTTCCACAACTCATTCTGGATATGTACCTCTGCCCCGTATTATTTTTTAGCAAGATAGATAAGATGCAGACTAGCCTTAACCACACCCATATTACCTGATAATGGGAAGGTCAATATTGGTCAGTTCTGACAAAGCCCACTGTTACCTCATCTTACTCACTCTACATTATACAAGCTTGGATCTCAACAGATCGAAACCCAGAGATGAACAGGGACAAAATGTCTGTTTTCAAATGCTTCAGAATTAACATCCAAAGGACAACAGAACAGTAAAAAAAATAATAATATCAAAACTTGCCTTTCCCGCTCCCACGGGGCCAATCACGGTGAGCAATTCTCCTGGTCTGACAGTCAATGAAATGTCTTGAAGTGTTGCCATTTCCATGGTCTATTCATTTGGGAAGAAATCAATATGGTTTTATTATTTATGCATTTATTTATTTGCTTTCACTAACTGTACACAAATAAACAAAACAGGATTTCCTGTGCTCAGTTGTTTAGTCCCTAGTCATCTCACAAGTAGACTACTGTCATGAGCTCTACATGGGGCTACTCTTGAAGAGCATTCAGAAGCTATAAGTGGTGCAGAGTGTGGCAGCGCAGGTAGATTGGAGGCCCCAAAGAAGGGCCCTGTGACACCACTGCTCTGCGAGCTGCACTGGTTACCAGTCTGCTTCTGGGTGCAATTCAAGGTGTTGGTGATCACCTTTAAACCCCATCATGGCATGGGTCCAGGTTACTTGAGGGACCATCTCAGTCCACTGGGATTGGCCCGTATCCCTCATGCCGGCAGAGGAGGCATGCTGCGGGTCCTGTCAGCCCAAGTATTCCAGCTGGAGGGGGCCAGGAGGAGGACCTTCTCTGCTGTTGCTCCTGCTCTCTGGAACACTTTGCCCCCCGATGTGAGGTTGGCCCCAACCGTCCTATCTCTTCGTAAGGGCCCGAAGATGTGGCTGTGCTAGTTGGCTTCAGGTTCCAGTGGGGGATCAGCACAATGGAGGTGGTTGATTAATAACAGATCCCACCTCCCTCCCCCCCATTTTGCCCACATCCTCCTCCATGTGTCTTTTGTTTTAGTGTTTGTTTTTAACTTTTTAGATTTTAGATTTTATGTAACTGTAAGCCGGCCAGAGTTACCCCAGGGTATGATGGGCGGCTAATAAATTTTATAAATAAATAAACAAACAAACGTATTTATGAATAAAAATAAAACTGAAGAAAACTAAACAAAAATATATTCTTTGACTCTATTCATTGTTTTATGCATTCAGTCAATCTTGGCTCCTGTTGACTACCTGGACTGGTCCTTGCAGTTTTCCTGGCAAGGTTTTCCAGAAATGGTTTGCCACTGTCTGCTTCCTAGAAAGAGTATGATTGGCCCAGAATCATTCTGTGACTTCATGTCTAAGGCAGGACTGGAACTCATAGTCTCCCAGTTTATAGCCTGATGCTTTGACAACAAACAATAAACTGGCTCTCCCAGTGTCAATTTAGTATGAGAAACAGATTCAAAATGCTACTTCTTAAAATCAATGTAATAGTCATAGAAATGATTTGAAACCTATTGTATTTTGATTCTAAGACATTTAATTTAAATGACAACTATTTAAATGTATAATGTATAACTATCCTAAAAGGACCTAGAGAATTTCTGCGCACAGAAAACCATCCACAATTGATACTTGCCAAAAGATGTTCAAAATGATACAATTCAAACTTTAGAAAAGTGAATCTCTCCTTTTGAATAGGTAGCTGCTCCTTTTAAAAATATGTATTTAAAATTAAAGATCCCCACAAAAATCTATAAAATGTATTAAATTTTTGAAGATGTTTTACAGATACACTTATAGCAATTCCGCACAAAGTAATCTAATTTAAGAGTACTACTCTTTCCCCAAATGTAAAGTTTAATCACTCGCATCTATCGAGACCCAAAAAATAATTATCTGTGAAATATCACATGGGATAAAAAAA